AACGTTATTTTCATGATAAATGTCTGTAGTTTTATTCCCTGATACGGAAAATATTTAAAAAAATAACTTGATTGCTTAGATTAATGGACTTTTTCAGGCGTGTAATATTAATACGTAGAAATGAAAATGCCAGCACATTTAAATAATGCCAGAATTCTATTTAACTATACTATAATTCAATATACTAATTATAAAATGGCCATATATTTTATCCCAATTTCCTCTTCCTTATGCGTTTTGTTCCCACCTCCTGACAGAATCGTGTTAATTATTAAATTGGTGCACTCATTTGTCTTAATACCTTCATTAAGGCTTTGTACGAAGTGTCCGATGGCAGGTAACATTTTTGCCTAAAATATTAAATGAAATTCCTCATTCTGAAATGTATTACTTTTTAATTGACAAATGGGAATTTAAAGGTTAAGAAGAAATACTTAATGTTCTGCGGCTTTAAAATTCTGATTGCGCCGCATGGCTATATCACGGCGGTGGTGAGGTTTCAAGTCACATTAGAAGCTTACTCGGCACGTGAAAAGATCACACGGTGGAACACACGTAGCCGTGAAACCACGTGAACTTACCTTGACGCTCTCCACCGCGGTAAGTTGTGGAAGTACTGCATATGCACTACATTTGTTTTAATCGTACCATTTACGGATGTGCAATTTGCGCTTTTATGTACACCCATCCAGCATTCGAGGTTGATTTGCAATTGCAACTTTTCTGCATTAAAAGCACACGTCAGTGAGATTAACAGCCTTTTCACAGGCCATTAGCCATGGGAGCCAGATACAGTCTCCTATGTCTGGGACCCCAGGCATGTCTTATCTGTTTTTCGGGGTACAATATCTCTCGGGCTCTTTCAGAGAGGAGACCTCGGAGGATCCAGACCCAATTGAATAAATCACAGGCTGTGACAAGTCTACTTAAAGCCACCATCTGTAACTTTCACGCATTCAAGTGGCCCCTTGAATAATGGCAACTGCTTTGCGTTGATCTTTACCCAGAGCGATACCTGCAGAGGTAAACCCGATGCCGAACCGCACGGCAATCAGTCATCGCAGGAGCAGATTGGAAAAATCCCACCGAAGAGCATTGTCACAATGAGAAGGGGGCCGTTCAAATGATATCTTTTTGTCTTTCCTTTCCCGATTCCTCTTGAAAATGAATGGATTCCGTCGACATTAAATCGGAAGTGAATGATACTTTGCCGTCCCCCCCCACCCCACTGATGCTAGATATGTTATACATTTACACGTGTGCAATTATATAAAAAAAAAAGCTTGACATGGAGGTCGGTGATGACATTTAACGTGTTATATAATTTAATATTCCAGGTTTTAACAAATAAATAAAAACGCGTTGCCTATCGGCACCCACCCATGAACCTGACAAAAAATCCAATATTATCACCTCTCTGATAGGCCTCTGCTCGGTGTAACCAGGCAGCTGTGTTAAACACGTGAAAGATGATAATAATAATAATTCTGAGAACGCCACCTGATGCCTTTTGTCGTGTCCCGCTGCTTTTGAAAATATCTTTCTTTGAGAAGAAGCTGACATCTCCTTGCAAGCTGTTTGTTGTTCGTGACGGACATTAAGACAGAGTTCGGAGGGAAAGAACGTGCATCTGTCAGGACAAACGTTGCTGAATGATTCATGCTTCCTTTTCTGCTCAGAGGGGTCCTTGATGGCCTCCAAAGTGCTGATGAATGGGCACCTGCCCTCCCCTGTCACATTAGGCGAGATGAATTGGAGGCGGTATGAGGAATGCACCAAGGTGTCCCGCGCATTTATCTCTGGGCGCTCCCGAGTTCTGGTCTTGCTCAAGTCTTAAAAACCATCGGGTTTGAAATGGTATACGTGGCCTTCAGGGCTGTTCTGGCATTATCATCGCAATGCTGACATTAACTGCCCCAGTTACTCAAAAGCCCATGAAGCTAACTTGTAGGGTTGGAAGGAGGAGGTTTAGTGTGTAAGGCTAGAAGAGGCATTGGAGAGTGGATGAGCTGAGAGGGCGGTGGTGGGGGCAGAGGGTGGGGAGGGGGGGCTGTGTGTGTGGTAGAGAGAGGGGGGGGGGGCAAAGGGAGAAAGGAGGGGGCGTGGGAGACTTATTTGCCTAATTTGTTTCAAAAGGGGACCGTGTCGCACCAGGGCATTCATAATGCATGAAATTAAAAGGTTTAAATGTAACCCAATGAAATAAATGAGGCCTGTGACTTTCATTCTGCACGCCTTAAAGCTCCGTAAAGGATAATGGAGCCTGCAGGCAGCGCAGCTTTGAAAATGCTTCAATGTAATTATTCATTCATTGGAGCGACAAGAAAAAGGCAAACTGTGATATTTGCAGCAAATTAACGCCGGTGTAAGATTTGACATTTCTAAATGAAAAGTTCGGATAAAAGAGAACACTCATTTTATTTTGAGAATGTTTTTTTTTCTTCACCCCCCCCCTACTCTTCTCTCTCTCTTCGTCACTTTATTGCACGCTTTTGAGCGAGCCGACGAATTTCGCAAGAAGATTTTGTCCAATTGGTTCTATTACACGTGAGGATACAATTTCTGAGTTGCTATCAAAAGGATTTAAGAACACGGGCTTTTGGTGTGTGGCCCCATACAGAGCTGCTTGCTCCACGCATTGTTTCTGTACACTGAACATCCCACTTAACTGGAGTCCAGCATAAAATATTTACGTGTCTCTGTGCTGAATAATTTATTGCTTGGGACTTGGCGTTTCAGTCACAAATTGCACACAGATGCAGGTGCAAACGTTGGACGAAAAAAATGTGTTTAACATCGCAAATATATGAACAATCTTCTCACGCTCGTAAAAAAAGTAAATTGTATGATTATTTATATTCTTACGCAGCACTCTTCATCTGATGTCTCAAAGTAACTGTGCTGTGTGTGTATTCGTGAACTATTCCCCTTTTTGCTGCGTTTATCACACTATGGCTCTTAGATGGTGTTTTGGATAATGCAAATAGAGTCAATCGTATACACAAAACAATGAGTAGGATGAAACCATATGGGGATTATTGGCTAAACACTATGCGTAACTGCTATAGAGAGCTTGTGGCATTTCTATTCCATATGGGTCAGTTTGAGTGCAAGCCAGGCTTAATGGCTTCAGTTTACCCCTTATTAGGGATTTTATGCGATTATAACAGAGCTCTCTCTCTCTCTCTCTTGCATTGTTTTACAGATTTCTCTTGCTTTCTTGAACAGAGGGTACATTATGAGATATGACGAATATTGTGGGTATTTCACATTTTCTCTCACCATTGTTGTGTTTAGAGTTGAGGTTGTTATAAATTAGGGGATTTCACCCAGTGTTGGCCCCCAAGCATTACAGGACGACTGACCGGCATGGTGAAGTATGGTCAAAGAACCCCCACGATTCACATGGCATGTTTAGTTTGTTGTCCATACACCGCAGAGTTGGCTACGTACGATGCTAAAGAAGTTCAACATACATCAACAACAACCGCCATTCGCCACTAAGTGGCGGTGACGTCACCACGACGCTTGTGCCAGGCCAAGTGCACCTTGAGGCCACGTGAAGTGTCGAACGCCCGCTGGCAGGAGGTCACGGGGCAGACCCAGCAGGTGCCACGGGTCGACTGACCGAGATGACCGAGATGACTGGATGATGCACCACCTGTGCCCCCTACTGTACCAACTTGCTGTGCTTTAGCCACCCGGCGCTCCGACATATATCCAACAACGGATTGTACGTAAATAGTGTCGTAGCTATTGAGTGTGCAAGCAGGCAGTGCAATTGCACCGTTCGCCTGCGGAACAGAGAGGCCCAGGTACCGGGCAACAAAGAGAGGGAGATATTGGAGAGCGAGGTCCCCCCGTTTCATTCTTCCGCCAGGGCCCATGGCAACCACACTACGTCACTGCATATGAGATATTGCATGATATAATTATAGGTTATGATGATAAATTATATGATTTATACGTTGTAAGGTATGATGCGCATTCGTCATGATGAGAATTATATACGCGGGGTCTAACAACACATTGATTAATCGATTAATGCAAAAAGAAAATATATGAGCTCACAATTGTATGCAAGTGTTTAATTTATGAAGAATGAATGGGATTTCCCCCGTTCGTTTATGTTTAGGCAATGGCATAATGTGACCCTTTTCAGCCACGATAGGCCATTACGTTTACACCCTCCAAAAATAATCTATTTCTTAATTTTAATCTCGAATCATATTGTTCCACCCCTAAACGTTGTACCGTTACAGTGCAGACACTTGTTTTACCTCTTAGAACGGAGGACAATCAGTTATTGTGGAGCTCCTCCTTGCGCTTAAAACTCAACTTTAAAAGTTGCATGCGATATCCATTGCGTGGAAATAAAAAATCGATTATGAGCCAGGAATTTTGGCACGCATTGGATTGCGTCAAATGTTATCCTGCATTCATTGTATCAGTGTAAGCTGGGGAATAGAAAAACACATTCCGTAAGTAATGTTGTCATTGATTTAAACAATGGGGGGGGGGGGGGGGGTGTTGCTCTGTGGTAAAGCCAATGAAACTGTCTGAAACAAACAAGTTAGTTCAGATTGTAATGTGAAGCACGTATCCAGTAAAGTTCACGCGTTACAAGCACAAACTAGTTATATTGTTTTAAACAATATGAACACACCCACCTGTTTTCACAGGTGTACGTACATTGCAGACTTCGATATGGCGTTGAGTGCCGTCCCCTTTGTCTTGAGGGATCTATTTGTGTGGTCCACACTCCTCCCACATGCTAAACACTCATTTACATGAAATTAGCCAAACATCTCAATGCAGAACAATCTGAAAAAAACTATCTTGATACACTTTTATAGGCTTTCCTGGCAAATAAAGGACATTATTATTATTATCATGCGTGCATGTGTAGTGTTCACAAAACGTTGTTTAAATTAATAAATAATAGAGCTGGAATGATGTGTATGGAGTCAATTAATTGACTACAAATTTAAAAAAACTTTTGTGGACAATTTATTTGGAGCCCTTGAAAGATGGTGGCCACCCCAATATCCTGCCTCATGAAGGCAGGTAACCCGCTGCACATGCAACACCCAGTGTGATGAGCCGGAACATGCCAGTGATGTCACCAAGCTCCGCCCATCACCTCCCGTCCAGCAGCACACGTGGAAACATAGGTGATACTTAAAAAAAGAAAATGTCATGTTAACCCATTAGTCGATTTATGAAACTGATTATCGTTCAAACATTCGGACACATAAATAATAGGATAGGCCACCTGTAATAAACAAGTGCGAGTGTAAATACAAAGTAATTTAAGAGACACGATACTGCTCAGTCATAGGACACGTAAGGGCTGATGAAAGAACGGCTTGCAGAGGTCATAGAAAGCGCAGAATTGATGGTGAGGTTGGCCTTTCTAGATTTATGGAAGCTCTTTCTTTTTCCAATTCTTTTCTTCCCCCTGATGGAACAACAAGGAAATCGACACGTGTGCTGGTGATTTATTTTATTACATTGCTAGATTCCAAAACACTCCTTCTAAAATTCTTAATTGATTTATATATATGTGTATATGCGTAACAGTTAACGTGCATGTGGAGTCGCTTGAATTGAAAAGACCGTGAAATCGAATTAGCAAAAAATCAAACAAGAAATTTGTACAAGAGCATATGGTCGGGTGTTATGTTCGCCATTCTCGTGAGCGTTTATATTTAAGCCAAATTCTTGTTTGTTGGAACAAGGTCAAGTTAAGCCATCTGGTCTTTACGCTTTATTAAAAAATGTGTTTCTCTTAATACTGCATTGTTTATTACATTTAACCAGGTCAGGATAAATTTAACGCACAATTTAAACGCGCCATTCAGAGCGATGTAGCTATTTTATGAGGAGAAAAAAAAAATATGAGGCAAAATGAGTAAAAAAAATGTTGCTTGGTCTTTTGAAATGCGTATTCTGGAGAATTGTGATCGTGTTATTGGTACAAAACATTAACAACCGTGCACATGTCCTTATTTTGTAGCCTAGAATGTTGAAACCGTGCCAGAGTTTGCTTTCTTAAACATATGCCGTAAGATAATACCGCTCTGGAAAGCCAATAGGCCGGTGGACTGAAAAATATTTTATTTAACGGAGGTCTACTTATATAATTTTATTTTGTGGCTAATGGCCAGTGCCATCTTATGAGATCATTTACCGTTTATAGTCAATGATGTCTCGTCTAAAGGTAGCCATAGCATTAACATACTTACGTTACACGTGTCCTTCCTCTGGAGGCACTTAAAGCAAACACAATTACGCTCAGCTCTTACTGTCGACAGCAGCCACATTTCATCATCTACCACACTATACATTGCGTGTATTTTTTATTATTATTGGACATATCCATATAAGAGACGTTTTTTTTTTAAATCCACTGCTGGATGAGGACCTCCTTAGACCATGCGGGTTTTTAACCATACTTCACCACGCTGGTCAGTGGAGGTGGGGGAAATACACAACAATAGCATTTGCTGACCTGTCCTCTGCTGCCCCCACAACGCCTGTATCACCTGTTGTTTGTGCTTGCTGGTCATCCATCCAAGCACTATCCAGGCACTATCTGGATTAGCTTTCCAGAACTGACAGGACCCGCTGTATTCCAGGTTATTTGGACATAGGCATATTATTATTATCATTACTATCGACATTCCTTTTTATCAGCTTGCTTCTGTTGAAACTTTGCTCTGCCTATGAGCGAATCAAAAGGAATGTGACTGATCCCATCAGATCTCAGAAGCTAAGCAGGTTTGACCCTGGATTAGGGCTTGAATGGGTCACAAGCACGCACAGACAACGGGCGCTCAAGGCATTGCGGGCAGCAGAGTTCTAGGCAACTGCAGGGATACACGGTGGGCAATGCAGCAAAAAGCATCATTGCACTAATTCTAGATTTGAAGCTTTCGTGACTGCAAGGATTCATATTCTTAGGTTTTTTCGGTAAAGTCACGTAGGTAAAACATCAAAATTAATGAAAATAAAATAAAATAAAAATCACTATTATTTTATTTTATTTTCATTAATTTTGATGTTTTACCTACGTGACTTTACCGAAAAAAACTAAGAATATCATCATTGCACTGTACTTCAATGCCCCCACATCTATGCTCCCCGCCTTCACCAACCCCCACTGCCTGCGTGACACGGGCCGGCCCTCGTGCCGATCGTGGATTTCCAAAATGGTTGTAGATGTGCGTGCACGGTTTTGTTATAGTCGAGAGGGAAGACGTATGTTTGTTCTTCAAAGCGTTTGGACGACGGTACGCGATTCTGCCGGTAAAGGAGCTCACTCACCTCAGACGACTTGCGAACACAAATGCCCTTTGGTGTCTCGGTGCACGCGAATCAAGCTCCACTGCGTTGCCTTTCAAGTGCCCCGCTTGTCGGCGGTAGTCTCTGAAAAAATAGAATGTTGGGCTTTTTCCGAACAAATAAAAATGGGACCTTTGTTCTGAGAGGCAGCCAGATTTATCGGTACCCGTCTGTCAGGAAGGCCCTTAAATTCAGGTCAAACAAACCGACGTCTGTTGACAGCTCAACAGGAAGTGAAGGCAGCAGACAAAAGCGGAGTTTGTCGAGTAAGACAGAGCAGGTGAGCCACTGGGGATAATCCACCCTGAAGAATGAGCAATATGATAAAACACACAAAAAATATTTCCGTGCTCTAAATGTTTATCCTCAGTAAAATTAAATAGCGTTGATTAATCACTCTTCAAGCGACGATTTACTTGGGTCGGTTTCATCCAAAGTATTTCGGGTTTGTGTCTGAATCTCACAGTCACCTGATGGGTTTGCATTGACCTCCAACGCAACTGCAGCAGCAGCAGAAACTGCAGCAGCAGCAACTGCTGCAGCAGCAGTAACTGCAGCTCCCTTTGATGCTGTTAATCCTGCATAATGCACATGCATATGCAGTACTAATCACATTCCTGCATTTCCCATAAATATGCTAAGTTCCTTTTGATATGCAAATTCCTTTGTCAATGCGCCCAGCTTATATATATGCTACAAGCTCGTGTGCTGTTTCATTCAGACTCTGTCGCCTCGACGGACCTGGTTTTCACCTGAGGACGGCTGCTTGCGTTGTGGCCGAAACGTCGTGAGAATTGTTTTATTATGTTTTATTTTTATTATTTTATTACTTCCCTTCTACGTGACTTTACCGAAAGAACCAAGAAGGTGAAAAAAGAAATGGAATAAAATAGACATGCAAACAAACATTTTATTCATCTGTGCCTTTCGTGATATTTTGTTATCCCATTTCAATAATTGGCAATACAAACTTCAAGTCAGTGAGACTTTTTTCTCAAATGAGCATTGAGGCAGTGCTGGTCTCCTGTTAATAGCTTGGAGCCAGCGGTGGAGATTCCACATTCCTATGGTGGGGGTGAGTCTATCCATAGGGCAACCACTGTTTGACTTCATCACAAAGTGGTACCTATAGTATTGACCCTAGGGCGATGGTGGGCTAAGTCAACTTCCAACTAGGATTTGAACTCGAGACTTTTCTATTCCAAGCCACTCGCTGTAATTGTTTTAGATTTTAAGTTTATTCATTTTCCAAATGTAACACGTATTCTGTTTATTTCTGGCTATTCCTTGGAAGTGTGTTTTGGGCTTCAGATGAATGCTGGTTGGGCTAGTTTGCTTTGTCTGGTGGGAACGATTAAATTGCACACCGCTTTTTCTGGTGTAATCAGCCTGTTCCGAGTGAGCAGTTTAAGTCCCTAAAGTTGCTTAACCAACCCAGCAAGCTTAATCAGGCCGACCTCTGCATGAGCATGATCAACAAGGCATTGCTAAACAACCTGGCAGCCCCAAGGATGCAAAACACCCAGCGAGGTAAAAACAGGGCTCTGCTAGCAAGGTGCATTGGTCCTGACAACGACTGCTCAGAATAAACACGTTGTTTCTCAAAAATGTAAGGTTAGACGCAGACTTGGGGTCAATTATTATTGCAATGGTGTTATTATAAATGAGTATCAAAAATCACAATGTAAATTGGATTTGCATTTGAGCTAACAAAAACTGCTGTAGATCTAATTATAACTCATCCACGGCCTGCTGAGACTTAATGGCAGAACAGGGGCAGGCGGTCAATCTGTTAGCAACGCGCCCTGGGCCCCACACACAGCATGGCCATGCAGAGATTTCCACGGTCCTTTGCATTAAGTGCTTCCCTATAAAGCATATTGACATGAGCAGCCACTGTGAAATTATCACATGTGTAGTGTTGGCTGGGGGGAGTCGGGTTCATAGCACAGTGGTAAATGCAATACGCTACAAATCCGGCGATCTGAGTTCGATTCCAATCAAGAGCTGACATCAGTGTCGAGTGACATCTGAACCAGTCCTGGGCCGACTAACTTCACCGACCAGCACTGACAAGTCGTGGTGAAGTATGGTGCAATCAACCCCCCACCACGAATATGACATGATGTGGCCTTTATCCAGCAGTGGATTAACACAGGGCAGTACATTTTTGATTTTCAAACTCGTTTCTTGTTATTAAACAAGAGCTGGGTACAAAGCTCAAGCGACGAGCAGATTGGGGGAGGGGGGGGTAGAGATATTCCGCAGACGACAATCCCGAGGGCTGGTGCCCTCGAGGCATGGGAAAGTGAAGGTGGTTTGGGCTCACTGCCCTGCTCACGTCGGGGCAACGTTCGGAATGTGGTATTTTTAGGGGAGGGGAAGACGAGGGAGGGGTGGGGGGCACATTATAATTTTGTCATACATATATATTATATCTATAAAACGGCGTGGATACCTTTGTGATAGAATTCATTTGAAAATGTTGCATTGCAATACAGTAATATATTTTAACACAGGCAAGCACATTTTTACTTATAAGCCTTGAGAAAAAGAGAAGTAGACTTAACAGTGTATTTATTTTATAGGAATTGCATGAATAAGTAGTTAAACGAGTATTACATCCATCATTTAACCACTGCAATGCAATTCACAAACCCAATAATCTCTTTAGGACCATTGTTTGTGGCCCAGCCACCCAGTTTGACCGGATTTGTGTAAGTGGCCATGAAAATAATTATGACTAAGCCTCAACGGGAATTTTACCAACGTCACTTAACCTTTCTAATAATATGGGCTCATGAGACTACCCTCCAACTGAACTTTGCTACAAACATTCCAGACATGTCAGCGGTTAGCATTGCTGATCGTATTGTATAAGAGGAAGGCGAATGGAGGAACAACCCCTGCGCTATTCCCTGGCCCTTCTGGACAGGTCCAATATCAGAATCGGAATCTTTTGTTCATCCTGGAGAAATCCGATGAGCTATTAAGCTCTTTTTTTACAGATGTCCAGTAGGGGCAGGTTAGAATGTTACAACAACAATACAAAAAACATCGGAGTGCAAGGTTTAAGAAAGGCGTGTAAACCACTAAACATAAATCAAAACTAAACTATTGTTATTCTTGGTTCTTTCGGTAAAGTCACGTAGAAGGGAAATAATAAAATAATACAAATATAAAACAATAAAATTCTCACGACGTTTCGACTGCAACACAAGCAATCATCATCAAGTTTAAATTTTTTATCATTTTATTATTTCCCTTCCACGTGACTTTACCGAAAGAACCAAGAATATGAATCCCTGCAGTCACGAAAGCTTTACATCAAAATTTAAACTATTGTTATTTTACCAGATAAAGTCCACTGAGCTATTAGTTTCTTTCAGAAGCGACCCGTCCGAAAATTATAGCTCAACGAAGTGGCTTATCATGTGGAAATTGATAGCAGCCAAATAAACTATACGCATGTTTATAAATGTGGAGGGGAAAACCGGAGGGCGTGGAGAAAAAAATCTCCACGCGATATGAATTCAACTCACCTTGCTCAACCACGACGAGCACCCAGGGAATATTCAACGTGCCCCACATTAACAAAATGGGGAAAATCTAAAAGGCAAGGAGGGAGTGCGTCACTAAGCAATGAACCACAGCAGTGTGCGATTCGTTCTATCTCATGACAATGATACAGATTTCTCTGCTGATTGTAAAAATTCGATGTTTCATCTCATTAAGGTTTTCCTGGTCAATTGTTTGCAATACAAATATAAATTGACATTGCTTTTCCATGCCCTTGTAAAAGGAGGTACTTTCTAAATACATAGAAATAAATAAAACACCAAAAGCATCTAGAAATTTGGAACCACTATGATGAGATTGTTTGAAGGAAGTATGGATATGCACTCTTATCAAGACTATTCACAGATGCTTTAAAACATATTTATTAAAATTTTTGGATTGTAGAAATATAAGACTAAAGATAAATGGTGAAAGGACGAAGCATTCCAGATATTCTCATAATTATTCTAACAATCAATGGAAGTGAACTTGAACAATATATATGAAACATCATATTGCACCTCTAAGAGAAATAATGAAGATTGAGTAAAATCATGATGTGGATGGAAGATTGTGGGTAATACATTAATAGACAAGAGTCTGTTTCTTCGTGATTAACATAAAAATGAAATACACTTAAGTACATCAACCTGTGGGTCTTTTGGCATTGATCGTTTTGTAAGGAAAGTGGACTTGGGCAGGACATGTCACTGGAAGGGATGATGAGATGATGGACGAGACTGGTGATGGAATGATTGCCAAGATAGAGAATGCGCCAATGGGGACGTCTCGCCAAGATGGAGCAAAGGGATCCGTTCTTGTGAAAGAGCGAGATGGATTATATCACCAGGGGACCATTTTAAATAGTTACAGCCTGGGGGGGAGGCTTTCATCCAGCAGTGGACTGACCATGGCTGACGATGATGATATCACATGGATTTCCCTTTCCAATGAAAAGCCACGTAATAGAATCTGATTTGAAATACACTGATGAAAAAAATGTAATGAGGAACAACACGCCTTTAAAAAATGTCTATAAACATGTAATATTGATTATTTAAACATTATTTATTATATATTCATCTGCTATAACTTTCAAACACTAAAATTAAATGTGCAATAATGCTTTTAAAATGCATAACATGTTTTATGACGGAACGAAATTCTACGAGAGAATAAATACGAAAAGAGAGTGATAAAACTGACTTGAAAATTTACAGACACATTAGCCTCTAATCGCATGAGTATAAATCCTTAACAAATATCTTAGAGAGCAGAATAACGAATAATTTAGAGGCCATCCAACAGCGGGAGCAAACTGGAGTTTAAAAAAGGTTTCTCTACCATCGACCACATTCTGGAAAATGAAATTGAATATCAAGTAGCATTTTGCCGAGCCAATTTAGACGATGGAAAATGAATTTCACTCAGTGGATAGTTATGCAGACATTATAAAAGCCAGTCAGTTTAACGCGTAGGTTTCGTGACCAATACCATCCATAATACAGTTGTTTTTTGGGTTAGATCGCGTTGTAAACATGTATTATGGATTATAAAAGCTGTGACAAACCAAGGCCTAGATTAATGGAAGAAAGTAACAACTTTAGATACTCTTAATCTATATCCTTTTTTATGTAATCTTGTTGGCAGCCTGAACCCAGCGACCTGAGTTCGATTCCTACTCACGGCGAACAACAGTGACGATTATCTGAACCAGTCCTGGGCTTCTCCTAGGTCGACTGAGCCTTAAATGAGTACCTAGTGTGGTGTGTAAACATCGGCACTTGGGAGACAAAGGCGATCGAGAGCGGTGCTGGCCACCGACCCCCTCGTGTGTGCTATGCCGCCTTTAGTAGGAGCTCGCTAACAGCACTTGCCCCAACTAGTCTGTTGGGATCTTCGTCTTTTGTGTGTGCGCGCATGTACAGTGTGTGTACTCGTGTGTGAAAATTCAGGCTGTGCGGGGGTCTTGTAATCACCAAGTTAGGATCAGTGCCCAATCTGCACTCAGCCAGCTTGACCACGATGCCTGACCTACTTATGCGTTTACATTATCGCAGCAGTCATAATCAGCGTAACAGGAACGGTGTGTATTGAATTATAGCATTCGAGGTGGCCACATGTGCTAGCTCCAGTGATTAATTTCAGCCTGATCGATCTGGGTCGACGACTCTAGAACATATATCTTCACCCGGTACACCACATCTTGTATATTTCTTGCTTTGGCTGTGGCGGCTCGCGATGTAGTTTTGCGCAGTAACCCAAGGGTCTAATTTCAGCTGTGTCTGTTTGACTTGGCGACCTGGAAATTATTTCAAAACCCGACACACCACATCGAGAATACCGCAAGCGATGCCTGTAGCGACCACTCGTGTGCCTTCCCCAGTCGACTAGCGACCTGGAAATGTTTCCATGAGAAATGAAGCCCTGGGTAGCTCACTTATTGCAGTAATAAAAATAATAATTTACACTTCTAAAGCGTATTTCACTCGGAGATCACAAGGCGCGGTACAAAAAACAGACACACACACAGGCTCACACCAATAAAATTCAACCACGAAACAAAGGATTCAAGAAATAGAAAAAGCCCTAAAAAGAAGTGGAGTCTTAAGGCGTGATTTGAATAAAACGAGGGGAGAGTCAGCAGAGAGAACGTCCAGTGGAAGTGAATTCCACAGCCAGTGGGCCACACGAGGAGAGGCCCGGTCACCCATCGTCGTACAGAGACGTGACCTCAGCACACACAACAGGCCAGACTCAGAAGATCGTAGCACTCTTGTTGAAACATATGGGGGAAGGAGGCCCTGTATATATATGAGGGAGCAGCCATTACTGCGGTGGCCCTCAGATTAAGGTGGGTTCACAAGTATGTAGAGCTGATGGAATCAGCCTGGCCGTCAGTGACAATATACAAGTACAGAGCAATTAAATTAACTGGTCACACAGGTTACAACAACAACGAGTTATTCTATGGAAATAAACTCACCATTGATGATTGCCGTTAGCGAAGAAGAGTGATGAAATGGCAGTGATGACGGTGTTCTTCATGGCAAGGCCCACAGGCCACTGGCGGCCCCTGGTGGCCTTTAGTGCGACCCCTGACATGTGACCCCCGACAACACACAGCACGTGACGACACCCCCATCATGCCGTCAAAAGCAATGTCTTGAAATGTGTGGCGGGTCTCACACTGATGTATTACACTGGTCAACAAAAAAAAACATTTTTTTCTGGCCTGGACTTTTGCAGCTGTTTTCGACTAATTTCAGGGTGCTGATTCCAAATCTGATCTCAGATTTGCTCTATCACATCTCATTTATGCTATCGGCATACCCCATTTTCATTGATGTTACCCGAAATTAACTCTGTCACTTATGATTGCAAGTTGTTGCGAGTCAGTGACTGCTTTAGTGTTAAAATATGGTGCTGTATTTTTAGGATAGTGTGTTTATAATATCATTTTATGTAGATATCCACATTTATTTAATATTTTTCTTCTGCAGTTTTTATTGAAAATGCAATATTTGATATCTCAAAACCCTGATGTGATAGACAAAAACTGATGCCAGATTTGGAATCAGCACCCCAACATTACCTTAAAACCGTTGGAATTCCTTATGCCAGAAAAAGTGTGTTGACCAGTGTTATCGGTGAAGTACCCCCCATCCCCCTCTTAAAATGTGTGAAGAACACTGAGTCATGACGTGAATTTATTCTAGAACATGTCAGCAGAATGTCTGTTCTACATATTTTCACCTTCATAATAAAGGGTTTTGGGTTAGATCGCGTCATTTATAAATGTGTCGTAACCCTCCACCACCCGACACCGCCAATCAGCAAAAAAGTGTCACGTTGACAAAATACGCCAAGCTCTTAAGGCTAATGGTTACTCCGACTACACAATCCGCAAGGCCATCACTCCAACCATCAAGAAGGATCCTGTTGAGGAGCCTTTCAAGACCATCACCTTACCCTACATTGCTGGGGTCACAAAAAAGATCTCCAAAATCCTGATTAAACACAAGATCCAGGTCCGATTCAACACAGTACATAAAATCCGTGATCTGGTACCGTCTGTAAAAGATGTGGTTCCAGACATACAGTACCCTGGCGTCTACAAACTAAGTTGCCTCTGTGGTAGCAGTTACATTGGGGAAACCAAACGACATGCCTCGGACCGCATCCGTGAACATAAAGCTGACCTGAAACACGGTAGGACAAACACCTCAGCCGTGGCAGATCACTGTTACAACTCAGTGGGCTCACATGATATTGACTTCTCCAAGACAGAGGTTCTCTGCAAGCCATCTGGCTATCATGAGAGATTCGTTCATGAGGCGATCCACATATACAAACACAGAGACAATTTTAACCGAGAAGATGGATTCTGGCTTAGCAATCATTGGAAGGACGTAATACACCATTTAGATACACATTAGGGTGGGTAGAATAATACATAGTGTTATATTAAAATGTATGGTTTACAGCAATACAGTATATAATTTAATGTTGGTTTATCTATGGCAGTATATAGTACGGTATATGCTCGTGTGATGTAAGAGAATAAAGTTTAGATGGAAGCATATTATATAATTTTTACGATGTAGAATTGTAATGTATTACTTGCTGTTAGTAACTCAGCTTATTGTAGAGTATAGTAAGTATACTGATGGTGCTATGCAGTTTATACTTTAGTTTTTTATGTAGTTTTCTACGTGGTTGTTTAGTAACTGCAGCTACATATCATTAACATTCCTTTCCTTTGTTAATGCTTCTCCCTGCACCCCCCTTGGTGCTGCTGATCCTGCATAATGCATGGGCATAATATGACTTTGAAACCCCCCCGCCCACCTCCTACGCATTTTCCATGAATATGCTAAATTCCTCTTCATATGCACATTCTTTTTGTTAAGGCGCTCTTCTTGCACCTCCAACCCAGCGTATATATAAGCTCCTAGCTTGGTAGTGTCTCATTCTTCACCTGAAGACGGCTGCTTGCGTTGTAGCCAAAACGTCGTGAGAATTATTTTATTATGTTTTATTTTTATTATTTTATTACTTCCCTTCTACGTGACTTTACCGAAAGAACCAAGAAGATGAATCCCTGCAGTCACGAAAGCTTTAAATCGAAAAATACAAATAGTTCACTGCTTTAGCCCACCGGTGTGTTGAAGCGTGAAACCACAACATTTACAATTTTTGAGTACGAAGTTTCACTGGTAATTGCATCCAGCATCATTGGGCAATTTGCCATGATGGCGCAATTACCAGCGAATACGTCGTACTCAAAAATTGTAAATGTTGTGGATTCACTCTTCAACACACCGGTGGGCTAAAGCAGTGAACTATTTGTCTTTTGTCAACGTGACACTTTTTTGCTGATTGGCCGTGTCGGGTGGTGGAGGGTTTCGACACATTTATAAATAACGCGATTTAACTAAAAAACGTTTATTATGAATAATATTGGTCGCGAAAGCCTACGTGTTAAATATGTTCACCTACACATACTGCGCCCCGATTTCCAAGAGTAACAAACGTAACGCGAGTCGTGACATCGCGATGCTTTGTTTGGTCCTTAGAAATTTGTTGTTCAACTTGATCGCAAGCAATGCTGAATCATTTCGCATTCACGAGGAAAAAAAAGACCCACGCTTTGTAACTGAACAATGGCGTTTACAGATGGCCCAATCAATACCGGCCAATATCTGCTTAACATTCTATTGAGCAGTGAAACTACACTAAACGCCGGCGCTGATGGGAAACGCCAAAAAAACAGATGAATAGTCTTTAAGCCAATCTCCTGGGCATAATCAATCTCATTTACGGGTACAGATACTCGATAGAGGACCCAGACTTACACTGGACACCTCATGGTCACCCATGCCATTACACAGAATAAATGCCCTTCCTCATCCCATCCCTCCATGCGCCTTGCTATTCTTCTCGTTCATACGGATTGATAAAAATGTTTCCAAAACAAATGAATAACCGCAAAAATTTAAATCGCGATCAAAATCGGATTGTCAATGCCGCATTAGAAGTAGAGCGGTGGCACAGTGGTTAGCACGCCACGCTTTGAAGCCAGCGCCCTGAGTTTGATTCCCGCCTATCGCCAAAATTATTTGCGAGCGATAACGGGATCGCCACCACCCTCTGCTCAACTTCACCAACCTACACTGACCAGCGGAGGCGTAGCTAAGATATTTTGCGCCCGTGGACGAACTATAAAATTGGCGCCCCCCCCCCTTCCCCGTTTAATCACATTTTCCTATTACATCGAATAAGGAATAACAATTTAAATTTTAGATTTGTGCGGTAGTTTGTGTAATTACATGACATGTAGGCTGTGTGGCGGGATATATAAACTTTTAGGTTGAGGTGTACATTTGTGCAGTAGTTTCAGGCTGCAGCGCCCGCCGCAATAAGTTATAATGTAACGTTGTAAGCCTCATTTTGGCGCCCCTTTACCTTGGCGCCCGGGGACACATGTACACCCCTGCCCCCCCCCTCGCTACGCCTCTGCTGACCAGTGCGGTGAAGTATGGTCAGTCAAGCCCGATGACCGGCATGGTTTTGGCAGGCTGCATCAGTCAAGGGGGCTTACAAAGGGCAGAATTAAATTAATTAGTCAATGACTTATGTCGTAAATATTTTATAATAATGAACTGATAATAATTAACCTATTAACGACACGTTCACAAAACCAAAATTACTGTACTGTAAACTTATTTAAAACATCATATACTTTAAATGCGTTTTTTCTTTTCTTACTGAACTGTGTTCACCTGAGGACGGCTGCTTGCGTTGTGGCCGAAACGTCGTGAGAATTATTTTATTGTATTTTATTTTTATTATTTTATTACTTCCCTTCTACGTGACTTTACTGAAAGAACCAAGAAGATGAATCCCTGCAGTCACGAAAGCTTTAAATCGAAATTTAAATTTAACTGTGTTATTTTGAATTCAGTTCAACGATCCTGGAGCGGCAATACTCATGCTCTTCTTTGCGCCCTTTGTGCCTACCACACGGTCAACGTCCTTCCACGATTGTCACGGTTGGCTACGTACGGTGCGAAAGAAGTTCAACATGCATACGCGCGGCAGAATGATCGCTTCATTGCTCTGACAGCTGGGGCCGAGTTGTGGACGATAACGTGGCTTTTTAACAGATGATTGAGCGGAACACTGTCCACAAAGCACTATTCCCATGAACATTCGCAACGCCACGAGAGAATTTTTCCTTCCCAAAGCAATTATTTTTAAGTGCACGAACAATAGCGCTCCGCTGATGAATTGATCACTAAATTGCATTGTGCGGTTTATGCCCCAATTAAAATAATGTTTATGCTCAATTGACACTTCTGAAAAGTATGTGTATTTTAATCTAGCACAAAAGTGTGCACTCCGCATTGTAGCTAATGATGCACAAGGACGAGCCCCCCCCGCCCCTCCGGGCAAAAATACAATGTGAGGTCTTTTTGTTTGGCGGATATCACAGAAATTATTAATCTCAACAATTATTTCACATTCAAACGTTCACATTCGGTTGAAAAAGTGCTTTGCGCGGCGTGCTAAAATCGTTGAAGTTAAGCTGTGCTGTGCACTAACCGGGCATGTTGGGACACTGATCCATGCCACGCGTGTCAGGTGACGTCATAGAAACACCTTTGCGATTGAGATGTCCCATCACAAGGTATTATCCAGGTAAAATATATCAATACATGAACGTGTTGTTAGTAATGAACGAGTGGAATACATTTGAGTTTCCTCTGAAAGAATCTCGTTTGTATTGTAACACTAACAATGTACTGGAATGATCTTTGCCAATCCACTGCTGAATTAAAAGCCTCCACACACCTTTTGGTAAAGGGGGTTGCTTCACCATACTTCACCATATTGGTCAGTGCGGGTAGGTGAAGGACAGGTCAAGGACCAGTTCACATAGCCCTCAACACTGAGGCGGTATTAGCCCTAGCGGTGAACTAAAAATCAGGTATTCCCATAATCGTGAACCCGTGGAATGTTTATAATAATGGTAATGTGTTCGGATTTTAATACATACTGAGAGACTGCAGTGTATGTGTTTATACAATAGGTTGGAGT